CGTCAGCCACACCACGGACATTCGATTTCAACATCGTTGTGGGAGTGGACCTCCTCTTCCTGGCAGGAGTTACAGACAAGGCTGATCTGCCAGTCCTTAATATCACGTGTATGGGGACGCTGTATAGCTCGTTTGGCCTGGTGGACTACAAAAGGCGCTCTTCTTCAGCCACCTGGTCACTGTGGCTTTGAGTCTTCGGTGCGCCACAATGTGTGATGTATGACGAGGGGAAGGAGTTCACTGGTGCTCCTTTTCAAGACGGTCTGGAAATGCATGGGATCCAGCCAGTGGAGATCAACCGACAGGCACCGTTTGAACTCGGAACAGTTGAGCGCCGGGGAGGTATGTTCAAGACCGCCTACTACCGTACACGTGAACTACGACAACCTCAGACCATTGAAGAGGTGGAGGACATGATCTTTGAGGTTTCATGAGCCATTCAGACCCTGACCAACAGGTCTGGGTACAGTCCGGCCCAGAGGGTGCTCGGGAGGCAGCCGTCCTTGAGTCTGGATTGCCTTGCAGACGGTCGAGAATACCACTTGAGTGCCAGCGCTGACGCAGCTTGGCAAGCTGCAAATCAAGTGCGACAAGCAGCCCGGAAAGCGCTGATTGAGTTGGATGCTAAGACCCGACTTCGTCGAGCCAGACTCGGCAGACCACGTCAAGAACTACAACATCTTCAATTTGAGGAAGGCGAGCCAGTTCTGGTATGGCGTTCGGGCCGAAGAGGGACCACAGCCAAGGTTGGACCCTGCTGGGTGATACTTCAACGGGGACACACCGTCTGGATTACCCGACGGGGAGAGATCTGGAAGTGCAACGTGGGCCAGGTGTTCAAGATGTCAGATGCGGACAGAGCAGGGCTGGAATCTATCCCTGCTGAGCTTCTCAAGGCCAAGACCCGGTTGAAGTATGACACCGAGAAGTTGCAGTATGTTGACACAACCACGGAGGTTGAAGTGGTGCCACATTCACCCTCCGGTGGACGACATCAAGGAGCGGAAGATGCCTCAGAACAGCATCCAGAACCCCCAGAAATTCCAGTTCCAGATCCTCCCGGTGATGGTGGCGAGGACTTATATAGTCCAGATTTAACTGATGCGTCAGAACAGCATCCAGAACCCGCAGAAATTCCAGTTCCAGATTCCGTGGTCAATAATATTGATGTGTCCAGCCACAGTGGAGGGTCCTCAGGTGATGTAGAAGTGTCCAGCCACAGTGGAGGGGGTCCAGTCTCGAGTCCAGGTGACTCAACCTCAAGGTCCAACAGCTCGTCGAAGACCACAGGGAGCACGTCATCTTCATCAAGCTCAAGCTCTTCAAGCTCACCGTCCCCACCAAAGCCAGCAGAGTGGCCACCAGCAGGAGATGGCACTCAGCTGAGAAAGTGGGTTCGATATGATGCAGGGGCGCGGAGATTTCGAACGTCAAACTCCATGGGACCAATGTGGTCAGACGTTGTTCAGCGAGTGACGATCGACAACAGCACTGGGGCTGGGGAAGTCCTTCGCCGAGAGACAATCACGGGAAAAGAAAAATCCAAGGACCTCCATCGGCCACTTCCAGAGAGGGTGAAATCGGTGAAGACCATTTTGGTCTACAAGCGAGTGCGAGGACATCCCGATCCTGGAGTGGACTTGTCCGACGTTGATCGACCCGAGCGTGAAGGGCAACCAAATGAAGATGCCAGGCTCTTTGACTACAGAGTGAAGCGAGGTTTTGATGAAGTCAGTGGCGGAGCTGCAGCCTCAAGCTCAGCTCCTCAGACCACAAGACAGAGTACTGTGACCGAAGCCAACATCCAGCGATGGCCAATCTCAAAGTCTTCAAGAAGTTACTGTATGCCGACATGATCTGTGATGAGCAGGAACTCCACGGGGCCTTTGTGGCCCTCACCAAGAAAGGGGCCAAGGAGTTGAACGAGCGCGAGCTGACAGTCGAGGAGGTGAAGTTGTTCGACAGCGCTAAGGTGACGGAGATTGAGAACCTCGAAAATGGGCACGCGATTGAGTTTGTCAAGACTGAAGAGGAGGCCAGCCGTATTCGCCGCGAAGAGAGTCACCGAATCATTCCATCTCGGTTCATCCTTACAAAGAAAGCTGGCGAACTGGGCCAGAAGTGGCGTGCCAAGGCACGCTGGATACTCCCCGGACATCGCGACCCAGACGCTCAAGAACTGGAGCGCTTTGCGCCCACGCCAGCCTCGCCGACTGTCATGTTGACATTCCAGATTATCTCCTCGATGCGCTACCGGTTGGTGATAATGGACGTCACTTCAGCCTTTGGACAGTCTGATCCTGAGACCCGCTCTCAGGGCAAGCTATACGCCTCCCTGCCGCCGACCGGGATTCCTGGCCGACCCGGTTGGACATTGATTCGAGTGCTCACGGCAGTCTATGGACTGATTAACGCACCGGCCACGTGGAGAAGGACAGTCCGGCAGGTGTTGTTGGAGTTAGGGTACCTGGAAAGTGTTTTCGACCCTTGTTTATATTACTTGGAGTTCAATGAGGCAGAGAAAGCTGCTGGTGCTCATCGAGGCTGCGCAGGCGTCATCTTGTTGGACGTAGACGACTTCTTGCAAGGAGGGAATGCCAGGCATATTTCCCTGATGGAGACCCTGAAACTTCGCTTCAAGTTTGGGAAGTGGAGGTCAGTGTTTGAGGGGTGGGAATACCTCGGCAGGACAGTCCGGCAGCTGAGCAACTTTGAGGCCAGGGTGGACATGGGCAGATATATTGCTGAGAAACTTCGAGTGGTGACACTCCCGAGGCAGCGACTTCGAGATGGCGATGAAGCCGAGCTCAGCGAGCACGAGACCTCGCTCTTCCGGTTCCCTGCTTTGGGTAGGGGAGGAGTGCCGACCTGACGTTGGGGCCGCTTGTGCTATGAGCATGTCATGGGGATCCACCAAGCCCAGGATCAAGCACATTAAGGCAGCGAACAAGGTGATCTCGGAGCTCCAGAAGACCGCTTCCGTGTACCTTCGAGTGCTCCCCCTGAACATGGACGAGGCTATCTGGATGAGTATCAGTGATGCCTCGCTGGCCAACGATGATGAGAAATCACAAGGTGGCTTCGCGGTGTGCTATGTGCACAAAGACATCATGTCTGGGAAGCTCTCGCCGCTAAGCTTGATCTGCTGGAAAAGCCACAAGTTGCGAGTTGCGGCGTACTGTGAAGGCTTCGCTGGGATCGGAAGCTCTGGCTATGGACGACGGGATGGCAGAGCTGGAGTGGCTTCGGGCTATGCATGCCGAGGTTTGCATCCCAGAGGCATCGGTGATGGACATGATGCGCTGTGGGCCAGACCAGTCGGTTGTGGCGGTTCGTCAATCTGACAACACTGATGATACAGTCATGGTCGCCGATGCTCGAGCCCTCTATGACTTGTACCAGAGACGTTCCGGAGCCGCCGGCTTGGACAGAAGGGCTCAGATCGATGTTTCCGTTTTGGCTGCCTCCGCACGCAGTCTCTACGCTTCAGTGTTTTGGGTACCCGGCATGTACATGATGTCTGACTGTTTGACCAAACGTCTCGGGAACAGCCAGCTAATGCGCCGGGTGATGCAGTTAGCCCGGTATGGGCTAAAGAAGGATGCACTCGATGCCCTCATGTGTACAGACTTGGAATCACCCTCCGGTGGATGTGAAACTAGTGACTCGTTGCCCAAGTCTGTGTGCCAGAACAGTTTAGCAGGGGATTCCGCATGAGAGCAGTGCACCACTTCATTTGTCGTCAGCTGACCGTCTCCGACTGCAGGCGCCTTGAGCTACAGGAAAAGCCCGTTTTGTGTGACCGGGAGTGTGCTGCGCTTTACACCTATAGTCCCGTGGATACAATCCCACTGACTTGCCGGGCCAACATCCACCGGATAACAAAAGTCGCCGAACTTTCGTTCTCCATGCCTCCGGCCCTCAAGTTCTCCATTACAAGTTGTGGTTTGCCACGCAGTCTGATGCGACTGTTGCAAGCATTGCAGCTTTTTGATGCCCGCCATGTGAAAGGCATGATGGGGCTCGATGATGAAAATTCCCGTGCGATTTGATTGGTTGCAGCTTCTTGAAGATGTCAAATCTCCATTGGCGCGCTCACCCCCCCGCTCAATGAAGAGCATCATAAGCTGCCCCCAACACAGAAACGGGTGTGGTCTGTTGCCCTTACCTTACTACTGGCGTCAGCCACAATCGGTGTGACGCAGTACTCGACCCCTTTTTTCTAGCTCAGACTCAAACTTGTGTGTGTTTGCACTTGCGCTTGCATCTCCGCCTGAGTCCATTTCAGATGCGAGCATGCAGTGATGCTCAACAGACTAGTTTCTGGATTCGGCGCAGTTGGCCAAATCATATCTTCACGAGTTTCGTTGCGCACACTGTCACGTGTGGGTCTTTCATACGGATGGACACTCTCACCAAAGCAACAAAACGAGAGCGACTCCCGCCTAGCAGAACTGGGGCTTGGCCCCGGAGGTGCTCATTCGAGGTCCCCGTGGAAGGCTTTGCTTGTGCCCTACTCTTTCTTGTCGGCGATTTGCCTGATAAGCGCCCTGGGCGGAGCAGGTCCACTCTTGATCTCACCGCCTTTGATGAAACTCAGATTGAAACGGCTCGGTATCTGGTAAGAAAGCATGAGAGAGCCACGTCGGACTGCGCTAGCTACTGGTCCCAACATGCACAGTACGTTGATCGCGCAGTCAGAAATCCGAAATGCGGTTGACACTATGACTACCAAAACATGCGCAACACTGGACGACGAGACTGCGCAAACGATCCATTACTCTTTTTGCCGAATCTTGTGTTTGGTATGCCAGGCAACATTCAAGAGCAAACTGGTCTTACATGGGGTATCCTGTGCGAGTTGCAGCAACCAGAACTACGTGAAGCAAGGTCTAGGTTGGAAGGACGTCTTGTTCTTGCTAGCTGTTCCTTGTTCTTTAGTCCGGGTCACGGAGCATTCTTCGGCGAGAAACTGCGGCATGCCTGAAATTCTGCAGAAGGTCGCTAGTGCCTGAAGTGTGTGGTTTGAAGATCAGGCCATCGAAGAGGCAGGGCAGTCGGAGATGTGTAGTCTGTGAGCCCAGTTGTCACTTGAAGCGCGACAACTGCTTCGACATGCGTGGTTCCGCGTTGTTCCTTCCTGGTCACGCCAGGTAGCTCGCCCGTAGCCCTATGTTGCCTCTGATCCCCGCGCATGCTTTGTGACCCACGCTGTGGATGTGTCTGTGAAGAGCGGCAGCCAGGAGGCACTGTGCAGGTCGACTTGGCAGAACTGCTCCGTCGCGGATCCTGTGCAACGCGTGGTGTGCCCGCGGAAGCTGTGCCACCCGAGATACCCGATGGAGCAGGCAGCCCGACCTTCAATGAGGAATCTCTCCTCGCCAAGCAGAAGTCGCATGAACTATGTCATGAACCGCATCAAGTTCGTGCGGGTGAGGAAGGTGAGGAAGAGAGGCGGCAGCAAGAAGCCATGAACCACCACGCACGCCTCCAGAGCATCGCCGTTTTCTTGAAGAAACATGGTTTTTCAGGAATCAACGTTCCCAAGCGAGGATGCTTTCGCAAGACCTTCGCTCTCCACAAGGCTGCGGAGCTGGCGGATGTAGCGACGACCACCTTGCTGCTGGCCGAGGGTGCTGATGTGTCGCTGCGTAACTCCTCTGGTAGGACTGCGGCGGATGTTGCAAAGAAGATAGACAATTGCGGCTCCCACGCGGCAGTGTTCAATTTGCTTGTAGAGGCACCCAAGCCTTGTCCTCCCTGAGTGGCGTTGAATTAATCGTACGCAAGAGTGCTGTACAGGTGCAGTCGCACATACCTCAGCTAAATCTGAAAGGTTGTTGATGGATTCATGCTTCAGGCTGTTTTTCATCCTGATAAGGAATGCTGGATGTGACCTATGTGCAAAAAGTACTGATTCGCAGTGGTCTTACCCCGTATGGGCAACGCAGAGAGACTCTGTCGTGGGAGGCTCTGCAGCTGTCTGGCGAAGCTGTTCCACCTGGGCTCAGAGAACGGCAGTCGCGCTGCGAGCGCGAGGGATTGACAAAGCAACGTCGAAACAAAAAGAGCTGCAATCGCAACCCTTGGTCTTTTGCAGAGCTGACACCATCTTCTGACTTCCAGCCGGGTACCTAGGAAGAACCTAAGCTCCCGACCTGTTTTCCCACCAGAGCCTCTGCAAGAGAAACTGCAGGAATGCCGAAGGGACGGCATTGTGCTTTGGAATTTGGAGTTGTTCAGCATGGATGACTCTTGCTGTTGCCGGCTCAAGCTGAAGAAAAGAAGCCCGGGTTACGCTGACGAGACGATCACAGAAAACGGTTGCAGCCATGGCGATCAGCAACAAGAAGCTTCAGAAGATCATGACTGCATGTTGCAAGAACCATGCTGATGCAAAGCTGAGAACCAGCCGTCACGCGCCGAAGGACCCTACCCATCAATCAGATCTTCAGGTATCTGCAGAACCGGTCTCGCGTGCAGGTGGGCCAAGGCCTCGAGAGAGTGAGTTCAGAATCTGCAGTCGGGTGCAGGTCTGGCTGCACGAGCAGTCGGATTTGCGGATCGAGGGCCGCATCCTGGGCTTCGATGAGCCAAGCTCCAAGCTCCACCAAGCTCCACAGCTGGTACTGTTACGGTCGGGCCTTCCCCGCACTCCAGGTACATGAACCTCGTCATCGATGATGCGGAGGACTCGCATGAGCCAGTCCCACTGCACATGTTCCCGTCCGCCGCCTTGTGCTGTGCCTGTGCCAGAGGCTGACACGTTTTTATTCGATTAGCATTTCTAACAGAAGGCCGGAGATGGCGGCTGGAGACGAACATTGATCGTCCACTTTTCGTGTGCTATCGTGCCTTTCCACCGCCCGGTGAGCCTCGGCCCTAAACGAGGAGATCATGATCAAGAAGAAGACCCGCCGTGCAATCGGCCCTACCCCTGAGAGAGAGAGGGCGGCATGCCGGGTCTCTTGTCTCGCTTTTCTCTCAACGGCCCCTTTGAGGTCGTATCTTGCTGAAGGGAGACAACATTTGCCTGATGATGAATACTGGAAATTAGCAGCTGAGGGTCTCCGGGAGCTATTTCCGGAGTTTTGAACGTCTCACGGGAGACCAAAAAAGCTTGTGAATCTGCGTCTCTACATCTCGACTCAGCCAATGGAAGGCGGAGTTTGATTGGAGATCTCCTGGACAGGAGATCCGTACAGTTATGCGCTGATTCACCAAACCATCTCCAATGCTTTCTGTAACACAGCTTTCATGTACGGCCTGCGAGAAGAATGGCAGGGAGGTGCTAGATCATGTGTGAAGCAGCGTTTTACAGGGACATTTCGCATCGCGCAAGTCGGACGGCAAACATGGGAAGATATTGCTTCGTGACTCATTGTGTTCCGGTAGCAACTTCCGCTCGCAACCGATATCTGGCAACGCTAATTTTGGCTGCAGCGGAGACAACCACCACGGCCGAGTGCCACTGGAGACCGTGCGAAGCCTACTTAAGTTGATTGATCAACAGAGTCTTGGTGAGAACTCGGACACGTTTGCATCAAGGCGTCGGCTGATTGGAAGCCTTGCACTATGGGCCCAGAGCCCAGACAGCAGTGAGACAAATGCACCTTTTCATCGTCCACCCTCAAATGTGCAGCTCAATGATGGTGCCATCTGAACTGATTTCTTCCGGAGCAACCTCTGCTTGTTTGCTGTGCTTCGAAGGCAAGCCCCGTGGCATTCGCTGTGCTCGTAAGCTGCGGGTGCACCGCAGGGAGGCACTCTGGGCAGACAAGGACGTCACATGCATTGCCGTGAAGCGACAGCAAGCAAATCTAACGCTGTGGTCGCGTGGCAGGATTACAAGAAGGCCAACCTGGGAACCAAGTACAAGTGCAACCCCTTCGGAGGAACGTCGGCACACTCAATCAGTGGAAGTAATGACTCGTATCGGTCAAGGCTGTGCACCGTGTTGTTCTCGTGAGGTCTCATGCCAAGGGCATCGTGGTGGAGAAGATCGGCATTGAGGCGAGGCGCTGCCTGACAGCCTGCCCGAACATCTGGCAGAAAAATAGCAGCTGTTGTAGGGGTCTTGACAGGCGAAGCAGCCGAACTCAGCCATCCGAAAGCACGTGCCTCAACCTGCCCACTTCGCTTTCAGCCATCGTTTTGTTACTTTGTTGAGGTGCTGTCGAGTGCAACTGATCAAGAATGGCAAGAAGATTGCGGCGTTCGTCCCCAGGCACAGGAAGTGTGCGATGCTGGCTAGTGGCTTTCGATGAGGCATGCCAGTGTCAGGACTGCGATCTTCGTTTCGGCTCAGAGAACTCTGAAGAGTCCTTAGGAAGGCAGAATGGAGTCTGGCAGTGCAGCACTTCCAGCCCGCTGAGATCTCAGAGTCGCGCGTCGGCTTTTTGCCGCCTTGCACTCCCTGATCCTGTCTCGTTTGGCCTGGCCGGAAGGGCGATGGGCTGCCCTTCTCTTGACTGCCTCCATAGGCAGAAGACGTTGAAGATATTGGAGCATCACGATTCTGGTAGCTCCGGTTGTGATCCCAGGCATTGTGTCAGCAGCAGATGACTTGGTGCAAACGGTGGACCTGTACCGTGCGATGGCGAAGCCTCCGGACGGCAAGGACCAAGATAGACTGGTCGAGAGAAAGAGACAGGTATGTCAAATCTCTTCACGCAGCATCCTCCACGCATGTGACTTCGCCAGGAAACGAACCCAGTGTCCAACAACAATTTGGCAGACGTCATGGGTGTGTTGCGTCCGGACCCCAGCAGCAACGGGTCTCAGCCTGTTTCCAAGACCAGCAAAGTTGCTTTCCAGGCTACGTTCATCAAGAGGTTATCGTGGAGCACGTTGCTGGTGATCCAGAGCGACCTTCTAGGCTTCGTTTGCTCCCGAGCCGAAGCAGACTTGGCTCGAGATGTTGTCAGGAAGTACGGCATTGATTCCTTCGGTCACTACCGGATGAAAATCCGGAATCCGGATTCCATCCTCAAGGAGCACTGTCTTTGCCTGCTCTGCACATCTCTGCGCAGCGCCTGCGTTCAGGACCCGAGCAAGCTGGCCATGCCTGGCTTCGGGCGCAGCGCCCTCAACCGCCTCTCGGCCGCCTCTCGGCGCTTTTGGGTTGCCCGCTGGCTGCCGTGAGGCTACGGAGCATTCGACTATGGTGTTGCCACATCTCTGGACAGTGAGAAAACTAGAAGAAATGATAGCAGGATCTGGATGGTGTCTTTTGCAGGACCTGCTGGAGGGGGTCGTGGCCAATGGTGATTATGTCGGAATCTCCAAGGAGGAGCTGCCACTCCTGGCACAGAGGGACTCAGAGCCGGAGCCAGAGCCGTTGCAGGATTCTCCGCAGATCAACTTTACCCATCCATGGTACTGGTTCTCTGTGGACGGTGATTGCCCAAATCTGCCCGGGTCCATGTTGCCACCAGTGTGCAACGCGGTCATGTCCGTAGGTCCGAGCACACATGTGCCTGAGCATGCATGGGGGTTTCTTGGGATCTACAGGATGCTGTGCAACCGTGGTGGCGTCTCTTAGTCTAGACCTACCTATCCCGGTACTAGGCAGGGAAGATCGATTTCTGACCCGTAGCGGCTCGATCGAGTCTCTGAGAATAGAAGAGGCTTCTCCCTCCAGACCCACTCACCTTTGCCATGGTTGGATCTCGCTTAAGGCCTTGGCAGTGCGTAAAGCCTTTCGACGGATGTACGGCCGAGGCAAGCAGAGATGCTTGCGATGTTTGCTCGCTCGTTCTTTTCTTACTATGCGGCTTCCAGGCGCCGCCGACGAAGCCTCAACCTTGCGATCCGGAGGGCTGTGCGGGCAAACAGGACAAGGCCAGCGCCTCAGAAATCTTTCAGAGCTTTCAGAGGTAAGGCTTGTGACCCACCCTGTGTCCACTGTGTACTCCGGCTTAAACAGAGCCTGGGAGGATGCGCGCAACTGCAGCTCCAATCCACACTTCACAGATCCTTCGGACACCGACACGACGCTCGGTGGCACACATTGTAACACATGTGTGACGAATTGTAACTTTGGAGACATGCGCTGCCATGGAGATCACAATGGCTCCTCTCTGAGATCCGAGGGCACGGAAGTGCTGCCTGCACTACAGTCAGTTTCCTGACAAGGTTGGATGTATGGCCTCAGCTGTCGGTCTCAGACAGAACCGGTGGCTCTTTCGAGGTGATCATGGGCGGCTTGTGCAACTCCTCCGTCAAGGAACCAACGGGAGAAATCGGCTGCGTCTATACCTACCAGGCCGTGCGAGCTGCTGTCACGCGAGCTACGAGCGCTTGGGGACACGGTGGGCGGGGCCACCGAGGCTATGGGAGACAAGGACTTCGTGAACATCGACGACCTGAACGGTCCCCCGTCTCAGCACGGTCCCAGCAGCCGCAGACATGCAGTCTGAGTGTTTCATGGAGAGGAATCACGAGCATGCCGTGCGGGCCGGATGGCAAGAGGCCCATGTGCTCTCGCCGTCCCCTGTCCCTCCCTGACTCTCAGCCAGGTCCTTGCGGGTCTTCGAAACAGAACAGAACAGAACCCGCCAGCAGGAAGTGCACCGGCTGGAAAGATTGGCGACACAACTGCTACGACCCGAAGGGGCCGCTTTGACCTCGCTTGAGAGACACCCTTAAGTGTGTGGTCGGAAGAGAAAAGAAGCCCTCGTTCCGGACTAGGACCTACAAGAAGCGGTTCCACTGCAACGACTGCAGCTCCACGAGCCCCAAATGGGACGTTGAGAAAAAGGAGCCGAGTGAGTACACGTAGCAGACAGGCGGAAGTCTATGATTCGCTCTGCCCTGGCAGCCCACGGCCTACTGCGTCGAGTACGACCTGCATCCCTACTGCCAGCAAACACAGGATCTCTGCAAGGACCCGCGGAAGGAACTGTCAACGGTCGGAGCCAAGTCGCGAAACCTACGAGAGCATCCGCGAATCCGGGAGGATCCGAGATGCATGCAGTTGAAGAAGGAGGCCGGTGCCGGTGCGTAACGCAGGCGAAGCGCAGGCGCAGTGCGGCGTAGTGCTTTTCGGGTCCCCAGGACAAGGAGACGGGCCTTCCCTTCTGGAAGGGCAAGTGTGAGGTCAGAGGCTCATGCGGCTCTCAGACTCCAGTCCTGAAATCTTTGACAGCGGGCCCAGGTGCGGGACAACCAGCGTCGTGCTGAAGCAGTAGCGCCTCTTGGCCGAGTCTGTGGAGTAAGAAGATTGCCTACCAAGCTTTTGAGCCAGGGAATATTTTCTCGGGGACGCCGTGAAGGATTCCCACTGGCTGGTTGACAAGGCCACTTATCAAGAAGTGTATCAAGAAGTGTACCGGGTGGAACCTGGGAGAGTCACCGCACGAGGATGCCATGGATGCAAGCCCAGCCTGTGCATCCAAAGACAGTTCCGTGTGCAATGCCCAGTCGTCTTCGGGTGCTTCGTGAATCTCGTGCTACATGCCAGTCGCTTGCACGATGCCATAACGGGAGGCCCAACCAGTGCACTCCGAATCCTGATGGCGGTCCATACTGCACGCGTCTGTTCGGCTTCTTGGCAGCAACGGGGACAGAGAGCTGCGCTGGAGCTCTGACAAGCAAGGTGGTGTTTGCTCCTCCTGCTACATCCCAAACACCGACCCGCTGCTTGGACTTCATGCGTTTTCCGAATCACGTCCACTACTGCTAGCGACCTCAAGCGTTTAGGCCATATCCGGATCCGACCTCCCAGCGTCGGTCTCGGTGGACTCGGGTCAGCATGGGCTGTTCCTTCAGTTTGCAAGTTTCTTGGAAGCATTGAGGCCGATGTGCCCCTGGGACGTGCTGAAGGCTGCGGCTAATTCCACCCGCTTACTTCTTCCCGGGACCACACTCTGCTCAGGAGAAGGGCAATGGGGCTGCCAAGCCAGTGCAGACGAAGTGTGCATCGGAAGATCCGCTTTCTCTTTGCTGCCTCTATGGTCCTGTGCTCAAGCGGAGCGGCCTTTGCCCCTTTGCGGTAGGAGATGTCTAAGGCATTGGGACCTGTGGAAACGTGACTGGCACCGACGGCTCTGATGCCGAGTTAAGCGCGAAGGGCTTCCTCCTGGTCGCCAGGCCATGCTTTTGCGGGTGTCGAAGGAGGTCTTCATCCCCTACTGGCAAGTGTTTCTGAAAGGATGCAAGACAACAAAGAGATGGTGAAGTTTGCCCAGCGCTACGTGGAGTCCTTTAAGGGCGCCGTGGTGGACCAGGCGGGACGACAGGATGGGAAAGGCAAAGGACGGGAAGAGGAGGGTTGAAGAGGCTCCGTTGTAGAGGGCCTTTGGACTTTCTTTTCCTGGCCGAGACCGCCTTCAGCAGTGACGTTTACTCCACGTGGCACTACCAGCCGCCGAGCCTTCCAGAGCAGGCAGGATTGTTTATTCCGCATTTGAGCCGAGAACGTCGCCTTTGCATTTGAGCTTGCTTTGCTCATGCATGAGCTGGGTGGCTGAGGCTTGGGACGACTTTGCGTCCACGGTGAATCAAAGCTCTGGCGTCAGCTTCAATCCGGTCAAACCCACGCCGAAGCCGTCCGGGGGAGGAGGCCGATGCAGAGGTGAGCAGACTTTCTGAAAGTCTGTACTTGTCCTGGAAAGGCCTGACCTGGCTCTGGATCGTCATCGTAGTGGCTGAGATCTTAAGCAGTTGTACCCGTTGTACCCGTTTTGGGAACCTCTGGACTGTCTCAATCTCCTGAAAACCGCAAACTGACATCATGATAAGGTTGTCCTGGCCCTGCTGGGCTTTGGCGCTTTCAAGTACCGTCAAAGCCAGCAGGTGCAGGGGGCAGAATGGTGCAGAGTGCAGATTGCGGGGGGGAGGGGCCATTTCGAGGGTGGGTGTCGCAATGCGATGCAGGCCCGGCAGCCGCTCCTGCCATCCGGCCAAAATCCCCATGTGCAGATGAGCAACTAAAGCCTGAATGGACGCTCTATGCTTCTCTTTGTGCAAAAGCCCTCGGCCCTAGTTGGACCAGCTTCTAGGGATGAGGCACACATTGGATGACTAAAGGTTTCACTGGGCGGACATGGCAGTTCTTGTGCTGCCTGACGCCGTGGAGAGTCCGCAGATCGCTTGGTGTGAAGACAGGTCGGGGTACGTCTAAAGTTGCTTCTCTCATCTGTGGCTCCCATCGCTTGGCAAATCGGTCACAGGGCCATTGCCAAGTAAGACCTCAACCCAGCTGCCCTGCGGCCGGGCATCGTTTCGACTGAGGCTTGCTCAGCGTGGAAAAGGGAACATCTGACTTTGCAAAGTTGCTTCGACATCTTTGTGTATCCGTCGTTTGCGATGCCTGCCGCTTGAGGGATGGTTGCCTCAACTTCATCGATGAGAACGATGAGGTGCTCGTCTCCGGCTTCGGGCGACGTGGGCATGCCGTCGGCGACATTCCCGGTGTGCGATTCAAGGCACCTGGAGTTCGCTTTGCTTGGCCATGGACGCTGTGAAGCAACAGGTGGTCAAAGTTGCCGGCTGCGGTCTTGGAGCTTTGTACCGCAACAAGAAGGAGCCCGGGCCGCATCATGCTGCATCCCTAAACGTGCACGAGCTTCGACTGCCAACTTCAAGCTCGAACACCGGCCGGTTCAGATTTCAGTTTCTCAAACCTCATGTGAAGGGCTAGAATCTGGGCCCTGGGAATCTGTGACCTCTCTGGGCATCTCTTGGCCGACCGCTAGTGCAAAGGGAGCGATGTGCAGCTCCTTCTTGGGGCCCTCGGGGCCCGGCAGGCAAAGTTGCTTGGAGCAAGTCCCGAAGCGTGGCTCTGGGAATTCTGACAATCCAAGCCGCTTCTTTAAAAGGCTTGTGGGCAGGATGTGGAGACCGCTAAAGGTTTTCAAAAAGCGGGACAGAAGAGAACCAGTTCGGTCCAGGTCGGAGACGAACTTGAGTTTCAGTTTGCGAAAGGTTCTGTGCTTTGCTGCCGTCGGAGCTCTCGACCGTATGAAATTTCATCATTGACCTGACTCGGTATGCTCAGGGGCACTCTGCCCTTGTGATTTCTGACTCACAAATGCAGAGGCAGTGTGACGAACAACTATTTCGACTAACGACGAACAGCATGTGTTCAAACTTCAAACAAAGGTGTGTCAAAACTCCTGCTATGCATGCAAATTGCAAGGGGCTGCGTTTGGGCTGGGGTGGACAGTTCTGGTGGCCCTCAGCATGGACACAAACTTGAAGGGGCCTGAGTGGCCTCCAAATGCTTCTGCATGCAGTGGTCGATTTCTCACGTAGGAAGACTCCAAGATGACCTGCAGAGAAAGCTCAAGCAGTTGAGCGCAATCTGCAATGTTCAGGAGAAGCCTCGATCCTGAGGAGGGTGCGCGATGCCGTGGAAATGGGTTGCAAAAGAAACGAAGCTCGTGGCTTTACGATAAGACATAAGCTGTGGTGACAGCTTCAGTTCCGCATGCAGATGTTGAGAATGCAGTGCCAGATCGGATAGATATCGCTGGCAATTGCCAGTCGTTCACTTGTAGGTCTTGCCATCGTCTGAAGCTGCTCCCACACTTCATGGTAGGCCTCTGGGCACATGGCAGAAAAGGCTTGCACCGTGTCAAGAAGTATACCGCTGTGCATGCAGAGCACCCTTGCGAGCGCACATTGCTTTTATTCGTGCAGTTTAGTCCCGACGTCACTGAAGCAAATAAGAAGGCAATGACAATGCCCATGTCGTGACGCTGAGCTGTCGATGTCTTCCTACTATGGTAGAATCTTGCTTGCATCGATAGTTTTGTTCCTTCAGCGAGAGCTGACCCAAGCTTTGACGAGGCTCTGGCAGCCGTCGTGGTGACGCAGCAAGCTCTGTTCAAGTGTGTGATGTCGAGGGTGTTGATGTTGACTGGGCGGCTCAGGAGTGGACGTGGACGTCCTGGAGCCAGTCAACAGTCGCTCCCTCAACACATGCGTGCTCTTAGCTTTTGTCCGCAGTGTTGGGCCTTGCCAGCAATCGTGCTCTGAGTCATGGCACCACTCTGGTGGATGGAATGGGAGTGGGGGCTCACAGGCGAGCTGCTTGGTGTGCACGCAGCGGTGCCGACCGCTCTCCTTTGTTCTGCAAAGCGAGGCCGCCATGGCACATTCGTCAAACAAAGACGGATGGTGGTCGTGCCCTCGGCTCTCATCGACACAAAGAGACATGTAGAGGGAACCGAAAGACAGAGACAGCGAGACGGGGAGAAAGCTCGACCAGTCCACCCCGTGCGTGGCAGTGTTCGCGCCCTTCTGGTCTGTGTGGAAGCAGGGAGAGACAGAGAGACAGAGGCATGGGGGCTGACTGGAAGAAGCGGCATGGGGGGATGCACTAAGAACCCAAGCGCACGACTGGAAGTACAGCCGAGCCAAGGGACAACCGAACGCCCTGCCGAGACCTGCTGCAGGTGCATGTCCGAGTGCGGAGGGGTGTCCGCCTCCTTCTCTTCGCCCGGTAGAGAGAGAGAGAGAGAGAGAGAGAGAGAGAGAGTGAGCAGGGGGGGCAACCCTCCTGCCTCTAGCCCTGCCGAAAGAAAGAGAGAGTGAGCGAGAGAGATCAAGTCTCAACCTTGCTAATCGGGGGGCTTGAGGCCACTCGCCGAAGGGTTTGGGGACCCTTTGCAAAAAAGGCACCCAAGCCGCCAACACGCTCCATGATGCTGGGTGGAGAACACCAGCCGGGGCATGTCCGTGACGATGGCAGGGAGCCAGAGAGTGAGATCCACACACACTACGGGAAGGAGCCCCGCCGCGATGGACAAGAAAAAGGCAGGACCCCCAACCGGAGGGGGGCAACAGACAGCAGCGTGGGGGACCTGCCCAAGAACAAGGCGCTCATGATCAATGGAGTGCGCTGATGTTTCGCTGCATGCTCGGGGCCACACGAGGTAGCAGTGAGGAAGCCGCTCATCGCCGCAGCCGAAGCGGACCCGAACTTGCAGCAAAAAAGAATTTTCGCGGACATTGCCGGGAAACACAGGGCACCGAAGACGGCGGAGAACAAACCGCGAGAGATAAGCCGGCCGTGGACCAAGACCATGAAGGACTTCCCTGACTCAAAAGGCCAAGCAGCACCAGGAGAAGCGGTGTCTTGCTTGTACCACAGAGAGACTCCGCTCAACCTGTGCGAGCCTCGCACAGCTGAGCCCGTCCCACCAACACGGTACGGGGTTGCGCTAACCCGCAGGCTAAAGGGACTGCCTCACGCTCCAGCCCAAGCAAAGCAGAGCAAGAGCGAGAGAGAGACCACATGGACTGTATTAGTGAGCCCATGTTGAGTGTGAGCCCGCCAAGTAACCATCTTGGTTCAAGCGCTGCACCTTCCTTGCGGGGCGAGCTCCCGAGTTTTGGCGCAAAGCCCTCTAAATGGGGGGAGGTGCTGATGCTTGCAGATGGCATGGGGGACGAAACAAGCACAGTCTGCGAACGATCAGAGGGAGGCGCCCTAGCAACTCAACGGGGCTTTGCTGCGAAGACAGCCCAGCCAGCACACGCAGAGAGAGGGAACGAGCGTTGCGGAGTTGTCTGAGCGGAGCGTCGGGAGAGGGAGAGGACGGTCCCGCCGGCCCCGGAGCTCAGGTGGGGAGATAGCCAAGGCCCTTTTTTTTTTTTATCACTGCTGCCGTCTCTTCTCTTTGGGTCTGCGTGTGTCAGGCTGGTCGAATGGCGCCCAAAGCTGGTGCTCTGGGGGTCAGCAGGATCCTTGTGAGTGCACTGGCGGAAACACAAAAGGTACAGCCGCAAGCCCAACGAGGCCAAAGCGAAGGTGGGCCATCGCTTTGCAACTTGCTATGTGGATGCACCACTGCTTGGGCTGGTCGGCTAGCGGCGAGCTTTAGCCCGGCTTGTTGTGCATTTTGGCTGCAACACGGCTTGTACACCCCCGAAACGCTCGAGGCGGAAGGCCCTGACATTGCAGGCTGTTCTGAACCAGGCAGGGGCAGGGAAAGCTCGGCGACGAGCTTTGGAAGTCTTTGCCACAGCTCAGGCGCCGATGCCTGCATCAAAGGCCATGGGCAGAATCTCGCGGAATCGAGCGAAGCCTAGCGAAGCCTAGCGAAGCCTAGCGAAGCCTAGAGCGAGGCCTAGCGAAGCGTAGGATGACGAGAAGTGGAGACGCCTTCGCGCCAGGGGCTGCGGTGGTCACGGCTCTGGCGGCTCAGGCTCGAGCCCAGGCCGCCCAGGCTGCCCAGGCCCAGCGGGAGCCCAAGCAGACGCCTGCCACGCCTGCCACGGCGGCCACGGCCACGGCGACCTCGGCGAACGGAGAGAGGCCCTCGAAGGAGCCGATGTCTTGCTCTGCTGATGTGTTGGCTCCTGGCTTCGTCGAGCTTTGGGTTCAAGCGCGGCCGTTTGCCAAGCTCCGCAGCAGGGTTCAACTCCCAGAAGAAGCTCAATCACTCTCAGTGGCATCACAAGCTGACGAGCTATTGCCATGCTGTCCCTCGTAGCACTGGTGCTGGCGCCTCGCACTCAGACCTGAGCGTCCAAGAAGTGCAAAGTATGGAACTGCTGTGTCCAGTTTGAGGCCTGGTCTTGCGCAGGAGCATTCGGTGAAACTGTGCACTGTCTGCCTTGCGGTTGCGGCGCAGCCCCTCTCGCAGGAGGCGGTGCTGCAAGTGCCTTTCGCGTACTCGTGGCTGCCTCAGAGCCAGTATCAGTAGAAACGGTTGACCTCCGACTCGTGACTAGTGGCCCCTGGCTTCGACCCCCCCGCACACCTCGGCATGTCTGCAGAGTCGGTACTCGGCGTCGTTTGTCCAACTCTGAGCACGAATCTGGCTCACTCGCAGGATCAGGATAGGACACTGCTCAGATGCTGCTTGCAGCGAGGCAAGATGATCTTGGAAACCAGGAAGCTGCCATGACGTGCCCCTGAAGCATGAGAACTGAGTGAAGTGACTCGGTGTGCAGACCAAGACTGTGAGGTACTTCGAGACAAGGCTGGAGCCATGAGCAAAGGGTCCCGCTAGCGTTGAACACAGTGCCAGGTACTACAACAACGAGACCCCTAGCTGGCAAAGAGACTTCCCACATGTGCTCGCACGTGTCGCGCGGAGCAGCAGCAGCCTGCGCGCGCCTGCCCAGGAACCGCTGGTCCTTGGGCCAAAAGGATTTAGCAGACGCTGTTGCCATGGCGAGAGCTTCTAGATTGCAAGTTTTCGCTAGGTGTTTTCTTAATGTCATTCTTTGTGCCTGCATGTTGCGGTGACTCCCTACCAAGTTGGCTTTTCAAGAGCAGTCTCTGGCTCTTGGCGCTGCGCAAGTGCTGTACCTCTATGCATGGTTCACCAGGACAGGCGATGCTCGTAGCTGATCGTGCGACCTTGCGACCTGTGCAAGCTACCCTGTGCCAGGGCAGGCGACATTATGCGCGACAACATTGTACTGTCTGCTCAGCTTCTTGGCTTGTGCTAGTCGTGTGCATTGTCGCAACCTGTGCTGAACAGCCTGCACTTTGAGGTTGTTCGAAATCAGTATCAACTATGCGGGGTGTCACTTGCCCTCACCTTCCATTCGAGAATGCGTTATTTTCAGGTAATTCTCAGGTACGTTTTTGCCGTGCAAGACAGAAATGAGCCAGGCTCCCGTGACCTACCGACGGAATACTGGCTACAGCTCGGTTGCGACATTCGCTTTGGCTGGGCGCACAGCTTGTCTTCTTGCAATCAGAGAAGGAGCGAGTCGGAAGCTACTCGTAGGATTTTGTTCATCAAGAATCAAGACAAGATGAAACCAGCGCTCTCGTCAACCTCAGACGGACAGTTCCCATATCTGTTTGGAAAGAATTGGATTCAGCATGCTTCAGTAATCTAAGTAGCTGTCTACATGCAAGCGATGATTGAAGACAAGCTGCCCGCCGGACTATAGCCGACTCTGTTTTGCCGACACTGTTTTGCTAAATTGGGTTGCTTACCGTGCTTGCTCGTGGAATGATGTCATCTCCCACTCGGATAGGGGATGCTTCAGAAACGCCCTGACCGGGTACTGTGATCGGCGATTGAAACATCCGCCAACAAGCAACGCCCGGTGTTCCTAGCCTGATGCATTCACACTCCTGCACTCTTGTGCTGTTACTATGAGTATCACTACTGTCTTGGTGATGACGATGATGGTTATTCTTGCTATTGAGAGGCGATTGAATCCTTGAACATCGAAGCACCTCTGCTAAAAATGCCTGCTGCCCATGATAGTATGCCAGTTGGCTAATGCTCTGGACTGAGTTGCGTGACACTGTAAGAGACTGGGCTTGTTTGGGTCAATTTCATTCGATGCGGAACAATGATTCAGTCTGCTCTCTTTGTTGATCTTATGACACTTGCTTCCTTCTTTTCTGATGATATCTGGTCCTCTGAGAGCTTCTTGTCGCAATTCTCGGTCCAATGCGAGCTGAGGTCAGCCTGCCATTTTGTACGCCTGGCTGCAGGAAACGGAGCCAAGCGGCTCCGCCGTGACCTCCATCTACCGGGAACGCGCCACCCAGCTCTTGGAGCCGCTTGCTCCACACCTAAAAAGAATGTGATTTACTGCAGCACGGTCGTAAACTGGCGCTGCGCGTGTGGCGCCGTGACGATTCGCCCTCGGATTTGGCAACCCTCTCTTGATGCATTCGTGTTTGGAACTGACAACCCTCGGTGGATCCGGCGTGTCCGCATCTTTCTGGCAAGCAAGATCCATTATACATTCCAAAGCATCAGCTTCATGTTGGTCTCGAAATGTCAACCTGATCGATGCCGCCGGCGTGTCGACGTCTTCCGGTAAGCATGATCCATTGTAAATTCCAACACAATAGTGTCAAATTGACAACCGTGTCGGTGCTACCGATGTGTCCGCATCCTCCGGTAAGTGTGACCCATTGTAAACATGTTGGCCTCGAAATCACAACCGTCTCGGTGCTGCGTGGTGCCTCCGGCCGCTGTGTATGAGGTGCCACATTGATTTTCAGTACTTGAGGGAATAGAAAGGTGGATGGATGAATTGATGCATGGGTGGATGAGAGTATGTTCGGTGTTGCCGCGCTGCTCTAAACGCCTTCCGCCCGCCCGGCTCTGTTTTCACACTGGCCGCTATTTGAGCAAAGAAGGCCCTGGTCAAAGAAGCCCCTCTGCCGCCTTAGGTACCTGAAGACGGTGCCGCGATTCGCAGACGCCGGAAAAACCTGGACCTCTCCCTGGGACATGAACTTCAACCAGCCTCGTGGGACGCACAACAGCCACACGACTGTTGTCTTGGGGCGGCGGCAGAAATTTACGTTGGACTCTCTGCAGGCTTCGATACCCAGACCCTTTGCTGCATTCGCACAAAATTGCACGGTCTCCTAACCATGGCGCCTGAGACGTCTCGTCTGAGTGCATTGTCACCGACTGAGGACATACCAGCTAAGCCAATCTGGAACGCCAGCAAAGTACCCCTGGCGGTGTTTCTTGAGCCCTGACTGAGATCGTTTTGCTTGCACGCCCCCCCGCGCCCCCCAGAGACTGGAGCATGCTCCGAGGAAGAAAATTACGGAACTTTTCGCTCCGAGCTTGAAGGCATCATCAATGCTGTGGATGTTGAAGATGGCTCCTTGGTATACAGTAGAATTAAGCCTGTTAGGCCTTGCACCGGTGTCAGCTGACAGCAATTGCAGAATGCAGGTTATGAAGCGATACGACGGGCAGATGTCTCCGTCGAGTCGCTCTCTACACCTGGTGGTTGGGATGCCATTCGAATCGTTCGACCTGCCCTTAGAGGCGAGGCTGGCCCATGTACAGTGAGACACGGGACATGTCGAGGATATGGTAACTGGAATGAAGCTTTCTGCAGCTTCGCGCCAAAGACTTGCGCGCTTTTGAAAACTCGCAAAGAGTATTCTGGCTGCAACAACACACGGAACGCGACTGAACGCGTGAAGGACTGTTTGCCATGCTTCGGGAAGCTGCAGCCAGCAACTTGTGAATCTTAGGTTGGTGAACTGCCCGTATGCATCTCGACCGCAGCGTGACATGTCAAGTCAAGCTTTGAGCCGATTTTTTTGAGGTCAACACCAACTACTACAAGCTGTTCCCAGGTCCGTTGCTGGACATAGTCGTAAAGCCAAAGACGCAATATAGACTAGAAAGCGCACCAGCATCAAGAAAGTCGACGCTCCGCAGGTGCACACTTGAAGCTCGTCGATTTCGGAGTTTCGGGTGGACACAGAGCACATGGTCACTCCATTGCACATGCCTGCCATCTCCGTGTACATAAGGAAACCGCACTTCGGAAACGCACCTCGCCTGACGGCTCACCTTGCGGTCATCGCTCCGGAGCCTCTCCGGTCAGGCAAGGGTGTGTAGTGGTGCTGAGATGTCCTGAATTGAGGCCCTCTGCACACTATCTGCGTGCCAGCAAGCATGTTTTTTCTCGTCAACTGTCGCATCTAACCATCTATCCCACATCCCTGTAATCCCCGGCCGGGTTGTCAATGCCTTGCAAAGCTATCACGCATGTCGTCGTTGAGAACTCGAGTACGGAGAATGGCTTTTCATCTAGGAACTCGGCTTTCCTGGACAAGATGGCTTTATGATTTATGGAATTTGATCCTGTCTGCTGTAAAGGTTGTTAAAGCAGCGGAGTTGAGTTTTGTTGGTAGCATACCGCTGCTCGCGCGGCGTCACGGCCGGAAGCCGTTCTGGATAGCCAGTGGCATTACCCATGGCGCAGGGGCTTTCATGTTCAAATGCTATTCGTAAATTCGTAAATTAACAGCACACCATTACCCAAGCCCCTTCTTTGGCATCGGATTGCACGTCCGAACCGTTCCAGCATCGGTCCATACGGAAGATGTACCAGTAGGAGCCCACAAGTACGAGGGCAGAGTTTAGGCAGCGATGCTGAACGGCTCGAAGTCGCCGAAATCGCAACCAACAAGTTGCAAATTCAGATGGGGTTTCGCTGGAAAGACTCAGCTTGCTAACAGTTTCCGATGATCTCTACAAGTGAACAACACGTGTAGAGTCTAGAATCATGCAGCAGCAGAGTCTCCACAAGACGTTTGGATCATGGCAGGGTTGCAGCAGTCTGGCCGAAGATCCCGCGGACGGTCGGCAAAAGCTACGCAACACATAGAGCTGTCACTGCTCCGCAGCTTGTATACATATGCACATTCCTCCCTTCCCCAAGTCGAGTAGGGTAAATTTTCCTTTCCATGACTGCCGCCTCAGGCTTCGAGAGCCCATCTGCAAATCCGAATTCGATTCCCTTGCGGTCGTTGATTCCGACTTCCGAGTCGTCGTCGTCGTGGTGGTAGTGGTAGTGGTAGTGGTAGTGGCAGTGGCAGTGGTAGTGGTAGTGGTAGTGGTAGGGGTAGTGGTAGTGGTAGTGGTAGTGGTAGTGGTGGTAGTAGAAGTAGAAGAAGAAGAAGTAGAAGTAGAAGTAGAAGTAGAAGTAGAAGTAGAAGTAGAAGTAGAAGTAGAAGTAGAAGTAGAAGTAGAAGTAGAAGTAGAAGTGGTGGTAGTAGTAGTAGGCGCCCCCCCCTACCAACTACACTTGCTCTTAGCCATGTTAAGACAACATCTATTTTACTCGGTATTTACAGCACTTTCGTCATGTCCGATCATCATAACAGGCCTCAAAATCGACTTGTCGAGTTTGTAAACTCGGGCTCTTGATTTTGGACTTGATTCTTGGGGGGGGGCGGGCTTGGGGGGGTGGGGGGGGATGTTGA